ATGAATCCCTGTGCAATCATATGAGCTAGCTAATGGTAAATCACTGTGCAGGACTTATATCTACATGGCAAGCTGAACTAATAAGCTAACATTTATGTACTACTAGTCCATACCTATTGGTAGCTTTGTCACCTTCTACCTATGCCAATCCTCAATGCCTATGTGCAGTTTCACATAGATTGACCACATCAGTGAGTAGAAAAACGTGGGACAGACAGAATGACACACTGACAGTTTCCGTGATTATGTACAGCATACCATACCATGACTTAGTCATACCAAAAATTAGAAAAAAAAAACAAAAAACATTTGTCCTCAGGGGGAGCCACAGCGATTGGTCGCAATTGAGCCATTTCTAAGCATTTTTCTGTTGTTATAGCGCCAATTAGAGTTAAATTTCTCCAGTCACCTTGAGACGTCCTGTTCTACATATCTACCAAGTTTAGTAAAAATCCATATGGCGGTTAGGCCTAGATAAGAAATTAGCTCTCTAGTGTCCCCATTTTGTTTGATGGGGTCAATAATGGAGGGGTCCCCTCAGATTATGTGTGGCCATATGCCTACAAAGTTGCGTGGTGATTGGTGAAACCCTTGAGATGTTATACACCTTTATATAATGAGCCACGCCCTCTGCAATATTCATTGCCTTATAGAAGCTCAGTTTTAGTAAGTTTTCCAACTTTTGCCAAGAGGGAACTTTAGATATTGGTCCCTAGAAGCCACCAGTGAAAGTGCAGAGGTCGAAGCTAATGCACGAAGCCTTGCCACAACTGCTGTTAACTTAGCAGCTTAAGGCAAGGGCAGACAAGACAAGACCAACTAATATTCAGAGAAAGTAGTAGTGAGTCCCTGCTCTCTTTGAGCTAAGGGGTTCTTGGCCTGAAAAATATTAAAGTGACTGTACAACAGTATTAGTGTTGTTGTGAACAGGGCTGGGCAGGCAACCTAGTTTTTGATCTTGGATGTAAAAAATGCGAAGCAGTGTTTTTTCAAGAGCAGGAGACTAAGCTGCATATGGGTATGATTTAAACCACAGACACATCAACCTGCAGCAAAAAATGACCGGTGGGCCCTCATTATTCCCCATTCTCTCAGTGCAATTTCATGTCCCCTTAAAGTACTTAACCACAGAGCACACAGCAGACACTTCAGAGCATCATTACATTTTGCCCACAGCCACAAACAAATAGTCCTCCTTGGCTAGAAAACCACCTGGCATCATTTGTTTTAAATAAAGAATCATCTGAGAATATGAACTATAAGTGAGGCAAAGTGGCGGGCATCACTTGTTTTGGATCAAACCCTGCTGACAGTGCCAATTTGTGGCAAGATGAGCTGCTTGAACTGCACACTGTTAGTTATTTTACAGTTTATATTGTCAATAATGCCCCCCAGACAGTTTTACCCCTGGGAAATTATTAGGAAGTCTTTAACAGCTTTAAGGCTCCACAAGGTCACGTTTCCCAGTTCAAAAGAGGAACAAAGTGCAGCACACCAGGCAGGTTTGAAACATCAGAAAGCAAAAGCTGATTCCAAAAGACAAAAAACAAGCAAACAACAGAGGGAGCAGGCTGAAGTAAAATAAAGTACCAATGAAAAACACAATACAAAATTGGGAACCAATCAGTAGTCAAGGAACACAGGGAGGAATCCAGCAACGAGCACAGGAGACCAGCTGATAAAATGGGATTACAGAGACCAAATACACAAGAAAAGGAGGGTGATAACGAGGGACAGGTGACAGCAGGACAGATGAGGAACAGGTGAAACAAATCAGGATGAGGCAGACAATCACTAAGATAGGAAGTAAAACCAGACATTACACATGAAAAGTGGACCTAAAAAATAAAACAGCAAACAGACTGAACATAATGAATAACACATGAAAAAACACAGTTTTAAGGTTATGTGTGGCAGCACACCGGTAAGGTAAGACAACACGTTTACATGTCGTTTTCTGTATGTTCTCTGATATTTATCCTAACGATATGAGGCGGTCTTTGTGGAGAAAAAGCTTGTTTAGTGGACTAACTTTGCACTTGAAGGGATGCCCGTTCACTTACGTTTTAACAGGTCTGACGCTACTAATGCGCCTCGGCTGTATCTAGGCTAACGGCTAACATGCTAACTGTTATTTTTTGTCACGAGTCACCTGAAACAAATTTAGGACGATAGGAGACAGGTTGAAATAAACCGAAATTTCCCTTTAAATGGAGGACCACACATATGTTTTGCCCTGTAAGAGGGAAACCACGCCACCAAATAAAAGAAAAAGATCAGATAAGCGAGGACGGGACAAAACGCGAGTGAATATCGGCGTTGCTTATTCCAGGTGGAAATAACTCCTGAAGGAGAAGGATTTCACAAAGGATGCAGAGGTTGCCTGCTTTCTGCTAGACAGGTAATTCAATCTGATATTTTAAAATCATTTTGGCTTCATGTTTGCAACTACTTTTCCCTCTCGTCTAAGTTCTAGTGACGGTTATGTTTACGTGCTAATGTTATCCTAGCCTTGGCTAACGTTATCCCAGAGCTACAGCTAAATGGTTAGCCTAGCCTACAGCCTAATCTGTTGATTCCTCTCGCGCTGCTGCGAAGGCTGCCGCCCTCTCCTCCTCCTCTTCCCTCTGGGTAGCCAAGACACACCTCTTCGCCTGGCCCGTTCCTGCTCCGCCTCTACCCCTTGCCTCCTTCCTCTCCCTGGTCTTCCTCCTCTCCCTCTCCCTCTTCCTCATCTCTCTGTGTCCTGTGGAAGAACACTCTGGAAACACATGTATTATAATCGTACCAACCTATATTTGCCGCACTGTGCCATGACTATCACATAAAACGTGTTATTTTAGCATTATTGTGCTATTAATGTTTGCTCCTGTTACCAAAACAATTAGAGATAAAACACTCCTGACATATATCTCACACATAACCTATATCTCACTGGTAAGCTATAACATATCGTAACATGGTTTATAATCCTAAATAAATATTCACCTCATCACTAGATACTCCTGAAAAACTTGAAAAACTCTGCTGTCTGCGCAAGGCTTTTTGTCCGGCGAGGCCACCATCACTTACCCGGAGGGAGATGAGTGAGTGAGCGCAAGTGAGCCTGCAATCTAGAATTTGACCGCTGATGTCACTGTTACTCACCATTTTTACACACTGAGGCTTTAAGTTATTTGAAGGTACATTGTCACCATGTTTTTTCCCCTAAACCTAAACAACATAACATAACATGAATTGCATAAAGTCATTCATGGGGCTCGGATTCGTTAGATATCGTTTGGGCTGCTGTTTGTGCATGTTCAGAAGATATTTATACTGTATAGTGCTTCTTTGCTAAAATGTTCACAGATGTTGGACTACAACATGTATTTTTTTTTTCTGCTTACTTCCTTGTTCTTTTTGTCTTTATGAATACTTGATACTGGCCTGTTTTTCATTTAGCTGTAGGGAATCCTAAAACTACCACACTGTCCCCTTGTTGGTCCCTGAACCACAGCTTGAGAAACATTGTGACAGACATCCTGAGGAGGCTCAGCCTCTGGCATCAATTAAACCCTATGACCAGCAGGTGGTGATCTGCAAGCCATCTACAAATAACCAGAGCAAAATTACAAGTAGAATCATCTGCTTTCAAAATAAAAGCACAGAAGAAATAAAAATAAGTAAAAATGCAACAGTGTGAAGTTGTTTTCATTAATGCCCATACACTAAAAAAACAAAAGTAAAATTAGTCACAACCAAAATAAAGAGGATCTGTCTTTTTATGGGATTAAATAAAAAGTATTACTGAAAAAGAAATGTTTGTATTTCTTGGAAAGGTGATAAATCAAACTGAGAACAATTTGGATTCATTGTCTGAGTGATGACTGCTGAAACAAGACTGGTTTTATACCACTTTGTACTGCACCTTGGGACTATAACCCTCCACCAAGAGGAGAAAGCTGAAATTACCTGTACAAAGGGAGGGAGTCTTCATTTAAAATCTAGCCAATGATCAACTGGAACTATCTGGTGTTCAGGGACAATGGGTCAAGCTGTGACTCTTGAATCAGCCGACTAGACCATTTAACAACTCAGAGAGTTTCTGTTCTTTAAAGACAAGTTTCCAGACCATGAGACCAAAGAAACAGCAAAAATCAATTCAGTGAAAGAACAACAGAATTAGGTCATTAGGTCAGCTGGTACCCCTTTTTGAATATGGCTTCACAATTTGCTTCAAAGTTAAATTTTGAGTCAATAATTGTCCTGAGATATTTGTGAGATTGCACACATTCCACTGTCTGAGTGTCATTTGAATATGTGCTGTTTGGGTGTGGCATGGAGGTCTGCCAGCATGTTCTGTTATGTGTGCATGGAGCACACACCGGGCCCAGGGGTGTGTCCCATGCCACTGACTGCATGTCTGCTGCCCTGAATGAGAAAACACAGTACAAGTAGAGGAACCAAGCAGAGGAACCGCTACAGTTGCCATGTAGCTATTTTAATATGTTGTAGCCGATTGTATTTGCTATACTGTAGTTTGCTTCTGTTTAAAAAAAAAAAAAAAGACTGAAAATATGATTTTTATGTCTCAGAATACTGCATTTGTAGGTCTATATTAATCCTGCAATTGACACACAATTCAGCAATCGGTTTCATTCGGCTGGCACAGCTCAGTCTGTACAATCTGCATTTATTCTCCCGGTTGACCGGAAGTCAGTGGTCAACAAACCCGCACAGCTCCTGCTAGGTGTGAAATACCACTGGTGTTTGACCGAAAATCTTTTATTTTGAAAAGCGTAGCAGGAAGCCCGTGTGATGTTGCAGGTGAGTTGTCGCTGAGCTGTCAGCTCATAATAAAGCTGAGGATGTGTGAGGGGAGGTGCAGAACAGAGGACCGCAGTGAGACTGTAACATCACAGAGACAAACACACGCTTTGGACTTTGGGAGATTTTTATCATCCTGATTGCAGATTTCAACTTTTTTTCCTTTTTGTTCTTTTTTTTTTTTTTTTTTTTTTTACATATTTATTTTTTATATCTTGTGTTTCACGTGTGATGGCTAATGTGTCATCGGCTGATGTGGGAGTTTTGTTTCTCATCGTGGTGACAGCATCTTTGGCAAACGGTGAGTAGTGTTGGACTACTGGGTGGTCTTATTATTCTGGGGTTTCAATACATGATGTTCACACTGACAGAGAAGAAAAGCAATAACAGTAAAACAGTAACAGTAAAATTGTTAAAGTCTGTTCAGTGTAACAGCAATGTTCAAAACTGAATAATCATTTATTCGTTAGAAAATGTATAGTAACTAATGTCATGTCAACAAGAGCCCAAAGTGCTAGATTAAAGATGCACAGGTAGGATAGCTCATTTACAGTTTACAAGATTTCATCACAGAGTAGCAGCAAAGCATCACACAATGACCTGTTTGTTATCTCTAATGGTTAGATTTGCTAACCCATAATTGAAACTGTCATCAGATGTCAAACCAATCAGCTAAGCGCTTTGCCTCTGGCAGAAATTACAGCCAGTGTTGATGTTACAGCTACTGAGGTTGGATTGCCACTAATAATCTTAATTTATACTTAAAATTAATCTCATTATAATAAAGATTTGGCCATAACTGGAAAAGGTAGTATAGATCAGGGACTGGTGTAGATCTCCTATTCTTCTGCACCACCTATAAGTAAATATCCAGTGTTGGAGTAGTAAGTTACATGTAATTAAATTACAAAATAAAAAAATGTAAAAAAAAAAAAAAAAAGTTCACATGTAGAATATAACATTCATTATGTTGCTTTGCATCTTTTCGTTGTACAGGAATGCCTTCCTTTTAGTGTAGTCTGTTTCTGAACATTTTTCTGCTTTATTGCCTAGTTTAAAACATCTGTTAGAAAAGTAATCAAAAAGCAATCAAATGTAATCAATTACATTAATTTGATGAAGGAATTAAAATAGTCACATTACTTATTACATTTTTAACAGGGTAACTAGTAATCTGTAACTATTACATTTCAGAAGTAACCTTCCAAACACTGCAGATATCCTACAGCATGGTATAGTGAACCCAATGACTCCATGGACACACAATATGTCCCCTCAGGGTGCAGCAGACATGTAGTAATGCTATTTCAGGCCAAAGATATTACAGGAGGTTGTCGAACACTTCTCATATTGCTGTGATCCAGCAGGTTCGAATAAAGATGTGAGCCAGAGGAGGGAGGTGGAAGCAGTTAAGATGAACGGGCTCCTGCCCTGTGGTGTGGATGGCCTCGTCGGTGTCGCCTCTCAGGGTGAAGCTCAGCCGTGCTCAGCCTGTGACCCACAGGCAGCCAGGAGGCGTTCAAAGAGATGCACGTGTTACACTTACAAAGACAAGGAGTGTGTGTATTACTGCCACCTGGACATCATCTGGATCAACACACCAGAGTAAGATCCTCATCCTCACTGCGTCTCTGTTATTATTAGATCCAGTTTGGCTGCAGTGCTGTTACATAACTATCGTGCTTCTATAGGGATTTACAGAGTGTCAGTGCTGGTTATGGATTTACTGTAATACTCATGTACTTCACTGCAGCTTGTCTTGTCATGTCATGATCTGTCCATTGTTTGCTGTACTCATAACTCTTAATCATAGTTTGTGAGTTCCTGTTGAGACTTTAAGATTCAGTGTCTCTTATTATTTGAACATTGTATTTGCTGGAAAGCTGTCAGCACATACAGGTTTACTGTAGGAGACACAAATATGTGAGTTATGGAGAAAGAGAGCCCTAAACTTTGACTTAAAGGAATACTTTTCATTTTTTAATAACTGCGAGGATTTGAGGGAAGCCCAGCTCCTCTCGTACAGTATTCAGTATTTATTTAGAAAGATTTGATGTAATCCAAAGAGGTCTAGACCCTGAGCTGTCAGGTATTTTAATCCCTCTATGGATTTCTTACAGTGGCCAAAAGGCAGCGGGGGGGTCCACCATCTGAGATGTTTTGAATGTTACTGAGTAGCCTTTGAAATTTAGAAGGGGGGGATTGGGGGACATGGCCTCCTCAACATGTGAACATAAATATTTGCTCCCCCCACCCCCACCCACCCATTAATAAAATGAAAGGAGCAGAGGACCAGTGGTGTTTTGGAGGGTATGCACAGGTATGCGGGGGAAAATCACCTCTTTTTCTGGTCGTTTGGCTGTTTACAGTTTTCCCACCTATCAGCCGAAAAGCCAATGGATTAAACCCACTTGATCTTCGGTAAACCTACCCATCTACCCACCCACCTCATCAACTACCACTTTTGACAGAACAGAGAAAACAAGACATTCGCACTGTGGACTGATGCAAAAAAGGCACAAATTGGTGCACACAAATTCAGCAGAATGCAGGAAACCCACAAATCCCCTTCATATACGTCCCCCTCAGTGTTTAAAATGAAAACTATGCCTTTGTAGCCAAGGGCACAATTTTCCTTAATCACACATTCAGCATTGTTGTTCCTGTAATTGCTTTTATTTCAGATCATCTTCCTAATCTGGAAACCAGGTTGGAAACTTAAGCCCCTTTGAAGAAAATCTGAATATCTGGCATGAAAAAGACAACATCAAAAGCTCACCTGCATTGGAAGACGCCAACTCTTGGGGTGGGGTGGGGATGATATCAAGTCATCCATCTCCTATCAGTTCTTTAATTACAAAGCTTTTGACTGAGGTGTCTGAGGTGTGGCCAGTTTTCAGCCTGCAGAGAGCACTGCAGCAACTGTTATCTGTTCTGACAAGCATGTGCAGAACTTCACTGGAAAGACCTTAAAATGAAGTGCAGGGCCAATGGCACTCACAATTATAAGCCATTTAGACATGTTAATGATGCATGCAGCATGCTTTGGTGCTGATGCACTCTATAAAAACCTGCACTTGTTTAACCATGCAAATCTCGTAAAGATCAAAGACATTGTGTCTTATTAGTAACACATTGCAGATAAAACTGAAAATTGTCCCGTCACAACCTTCATTTATCTTCCTGTGGTATCCAGGGGTTACACCATGTGGACTGAATGCAGGCAGAAGGTCTGTCGTCTGATGTCAGTTGGTGTCCAAATGCGTCACAGATATTGATCACTAATGTCTTACAGAGGGTCGATAGGTCCTGCTTCAACTTAGCATCAAGATGACTACATTTTTTGAAAAGTTGAATGTTGTTAGCATGGTAGATGGAGGATCCTGAGCAGTATGGCGCAGCCCTTACGGTTATTGCACCTGTTCATGTTCACCTTTTAACCTGTTTGAGGTCTCAGCTTTCGTCTGAGCTAAAATCCATATTGACACATTTACTTGAACAGTTTTTATTAAACATATGGCCTCAATAATCATCCTTTGACGATAGGATTTGAGCTATATTTTCAAATATATCATTGACGATTGTCTGCAACCAATACTTTAAAATTCAGCCTGGATCTATGGGAACAGCTGTAGGTAGTGATTGGTGTTTCACATGGGAGCCTCTGTGTGAAAAGGTGAACATATTTGTTAAGACTACAATGAATTACTTGAGACTTTATGTATCTTAAGGGACAGCTTCTGAAATACCTGCAGATGTTACAGGAAGTTGACTTTAGTCTGACTATTGAAGTTTGCACGGAAAAAGACAACGTGTTTTGATTTTCCATCGCTCGGTGCATTCATTTAGATTGTGCCATGCAGGATGTACAACAATAAATGGTTTAGATTTTGTTACTAACGTCACTATTTTCATCACTGCAAGAGGGAGTTTCATTATCTTCACATTTTTTTCTAGGGCAATATAGCTAAGGTTAGGGGTGGTGTTAACTTCCACCTCAGTCTGTAAGGTAAAGATCAAAACAGATGCAGACATACCTCAGGCATGTAGCTTACCAGCAGATGCTGATCGCAAACCTTCAGTTGTGATTTGATGGTGTTGTTTGTTTAGGATGAACTAAAAATGATTTAGATTTGCTGCAGTCAAAACTCACAGCGCAACTTCCCTGAATACATCACAGTAAAGTGGCTTCACTTTTGTACTCCAGACATATAGATGGTCAGAAAGATTCTTGCCATGTCTCATTTCCTCATTTACAGCAATAAATCAATTGGAACAATTTTGGCATTGATAGTTGTCTTTTGAAGAGTGAACCTGAACCCATTCACTGTTCAGTGGAGGTTGAATAAGCGCTTGGCATTGTGCCTTGTACTGTCTGTGCAAGATAAGTGGTTTCTAGAGATATATGAGTCTGTAACACTTTGATGACATCACCAGAGTTATCTTCTCAGACTTCAGAAATCTCCTCCAGACCCTCAGAGTGAGTAGAGCTGACCTTCATCTGTAAAATTGAGTTACAAATTACAACAGTTTTCATTCATTCATTTATTTCCGTAACTGCTTACCCTCTTTAGGGTCACGGGGGGGCTGGAGCCTATCCCAGCTGACATGGGCGAGAGGCAGGGTACACCCTGGACAGGTCGCCAGACTATCACAGGGCTGACACATAGAGACAGACAACCATTCACACTCACATTCACACCTGTGGCCAATATAGAGTCACCAGTTAACCTGCATGTCTTTGGATTGTGGGAGGAAGCGAGAGTATCCGGAGAAAACCCACGCTGACACGGGGAGAACATGCAAACTCCACACAGAAGGGCTCCCTCCTTGGTGCGAACCAGGAACCCTCTTGCTGTGAGGCAGTGCCGTGCTGCCCCCTACAACAGTTTTGATATGTAATAATATATGATGTATTTAAGCCAAGTACAAGGTCAGACATCTCTGTATCAGTGTGAAAAATGTTGTTGTCTAATGGGAGTTCAGGAGTATCAACTGTCATGCTGGATAAACAAGACCAGAGCCTTTTTTGAACCTGCCTCTAAATCCTTTAAGCTGCTCAAAGGAGAACACTATTTGCAGTGCGCTCAAAAGAGAGTACAAGAGCATAGTGCATTCTTATGCAGAAGCCAGAAGTGACCATATTTGGGAGAGGCTGGCACTGTGGAGGAACGAGGGCTGGATCTGACTGAGAAGCCGATGACACTATCAGCAGGCAGCCTGTTACTCAAAGCGGTTGTTCTTTAATTATGCATAATCTTAAGTCTTAACAAAATGTATGACTTGCTTCCGGAGCCAGTCTCAAGTGGCCATTCAAAGAACTGCAGTTTTGGCACTTCCATGTTTCATGCTTCATTTCTCAGCCCTGGAGGTTGCTGCCTAGGGGAACTGGAGGGTGGGCATTACCTCCTGCAACAACGATGACGTTCAGTGGTAACTGGCATATAAACCCAATCCAGAGCAGTGGCATTAGCTAGCCAGTGGGATATGCACACAGGGACTCACATGCACTAACATGGCCCAACCGCCTGTCATAACAAAGAACAGAAAAGCTTGTATTACAACACACACACACACACACACACACACACACACACACACATACACACAGGCAGATTGACAGCTCAAGATGCCATTACTCTACTATGTCTTGACATAGTTGTTTGCTGACGGTTGCCTCAATATGCTGATACAATTCTGAACAGCTCTGTGGTGGGTTAGAGGAGGGTATTACATTTCACTTACTTACTTTCTTTCTTCTTGATGTCTGATGTTGGTGCCTTCCTTATTGCTGCCTACTGCTGAACTTTGAGAGGAGTAATAGGTGGTACATTTGAGATGCAAAGTGTGTAGGTGGTACAATTAAGGTGCACAGTGTGTGGTGTAGTACGCCATCCTTTGGGAGCAGACTGTATCTTCTTCAGGAAATCTGAGATCATAGAATCAAGGATTTGAAAGAGGAAGGGGTCAGCGCTCTGCTGAGTCTGTTTGTCATCGTGGAAGGAGGTGAGGTTGGCATAGTGCAATCTGAAGATCCTCAAACTCAATCAGCCAATCAAGCAGTCAATCCACCAGTCAATTTATCAAATGAAATTATATAAAATACACTTTCAATGAAATGTATTCCTGTTAGTTCCATTGGTTTGTGCATAAAAAAGGGACTGCAATAGTGTTATAAGATTTGGCAGTCTTAGGCAGTGTCTTCATTTAACATTTGGACATTGTATGTGCTGATAAGCTATTATCAGGGGAAAGAAAAGCCCTAAACTTGCTTAAAGTAAAAGCAAAAACAAAAGCCCAGTGTGCAGGATTTAGAGGCATCTATTGGCAGAACTAGTAATGCTCATAACTATGTTTTCATTAGCTTATAATTACTCGAACTACGAATCATTGTATTTTGGTTGCCTTAGATTGAGCTGTTTATGTCTACATACAGAGCAGGTACTCTTTCATAGAGTCTGCCATGTTGTTTCTATGGTAGCCGAGAACGGACAAAGCCACTGGCTCGATAAGGCCATTCGCATTTCCGCATCCACCACCATAGTTCATCACTAGATGCCACTAGATCCCACACACTAGACCTTTAAGCCATGAAACGATTTGGGGGAAGCACGCTTTTTTCTCATATCAGTATTTATTGAAACGATTTGGTGTTATCCCAAACGGTCTAGACCCTGAGCTGTCAGGTATTAAATTCCTTTGAGGATTTTGTTCTGTTCTTTATTCTGTTTCCATAACTACATAACACCCTCAGGTGGATTTGACACATTCAGCATTGTTGATCCTGTCATTTCTTTTATTTCAGATCATCCTCATAATCTGCAAACCTGAAATCTCAAAATGTTGCACGTGATTTACCACAGGTTGGAAACTTTAGCCTCTTAGAAGTAAATTTTGATCTCTGGCATGAAAAAGACAACAACATCAAAAGCTCATCTGCATCGGAAGACGCCAACTGATGCCTTTTTGCAGCATCAAGCAGATTAGTAAATAACTTTAGTGCCTGAAAGTTGGAGTGACAGTGAGAGTGGGCTGGGGTGGGGGTGATATTGAGTCTATCTAATATCAGTTATCTTATGAAAAAGCTTTTGACTGAGGTGTCTGAGGTATGGCCAGTTTTCAGCCTGCAGAGAGCACTGCAGCAACTGTTTTCTGCTCCGACAAGCATGTGCAGAACTTCACTGGAAAGACCTCAAAAGTGCAGGTCCAATGGCACTTACTATTATAAGCCATTTAAACATGTTTGTGTCCTATTAGTCATGCATTGCAGATAAAGCTGTAACTTGGCCAGTCATAATCTTCTACATTGTCTGCCTTTGGTACCCAGGGGTTACACCATGTGGAGTAAATCAAGCTGCAGGCAGAAGGCCTCTGTCACCTGGTGCAGTAATGTATCGCAGATATTGATCGCTAATGTCTCACAGAGAGTTGATAGGTCCTGCTTCGAATTAGCATGGAGAGAAGTGTATTTTTCTACTAAACTATTTTAAAAAGTTGAAAATGTAGTTGTTTGCATGGTGGATGGAGGGACCCTGAGCAGTATAGTGCAGCTCTTACATTTACTGCACCTGCTCCTGTTCACCTTTTAACAGCTTTCCTTTGAGCCATAATTTTATATTTACGTGAATTGAACAATTTTTTAAACACGTGGTCTTTGACAATAGGATTAGGGCTATATTTTCAAACAGAGTTTAGCTGGATCTATTGGAACAGCTGCAGCTAGTGATTGGTGGCTCACGTGGGAGTGTGTGTGTGAAAAGGTGAAAATATTTGGTAAGACTAAAATGAATTACCTGGATCCTTGGGGACATCTTCTAAAATCCCTGCAGCTGTTACAGGAAGTTGACTTTAAGCTATATAAGTTTTCATGGTCCCTGATGTTGATGTCTTCTTTACCATGGATGTGGAGACCACCTGGGATTATCTTAGCCAAGAGAGGAGTGATAAATGGTGCAACTGAGATGCAACGTGTGTGGTGTAGCACACCATCATTTAGGAAGTCTGGAAGAAAGGGTCAGTGCCCTGCTGAGTCTGTTTGTCATAGTGGAAGAAAGTGGGGTTGATGTAGTGTTCAGGATCAGCCTCAAGATCCTCCAATACCATAAAGATTTATGTGCTCATGTTGTTCAAGAGGACCAGTGGTATACCCTAAAGGCAACAGGTGGTGCTAAATTGTTTGAGTTCACTTGGAAGTTCAGCCATTTTTCCCCAATTCGGCTAGCTTGTTCTTCGTAGCAATTTAAAGCCATGTGGAGAGAAGATAATAAGAATGAAGGGGAAGGGACTGTGTGATGAGCTCACCACATGCATGCTGTTAGTGCAGCAAAGCACACAAGCTGCATGTCTGAAATTAAAGAAAAGCTGTGTTTTTTATAACTCTGGTATTATTTTTGTGGTTTTTGCTGTCAGTCCCTCCAGAAATAACAGCACTATTCTCACCAAGCTACCTGCTGAGATCTGAGAAGTTACAGATACAGAGAAAAAGCAGCCAGCCATTCGGGTTGTTAACAAATTCTCAAGTTCACACTTATTTGGAAGATAAAAAGAAAGGGATTGATAACACTATTACCCAGACAGTCCACTATAAATATTCATCAGAGTTTACTGACTGACTCATTGGAACATCTTTGACTTACCGTACTCACGATAGTGGTGCGTGCTCTGTGTGATCAAGAATTATGACCAATATTTTGGGCACACTTGTGTTCAATTTCACCTCTGAAGAAATGAATTTAAATCTTTTTGCTGAACTGTTGACTTGTTTCTGATCGTCTGACTTGTGTCATGTAGCAATGTGTTCCCAGGACGTGTGTTAGCTAAGCAGCAACCTCTGAGGTTGAAAATGGATAAAGCAGTGCCAAAAACTGCAGTTCAGTGAATGGCCACTTGAGGCTGGCTCCAAAACAGAGCAAATCCCCACAGACCCGCATGTTAAAATGCCCAACTTTACAGCAGAAATCAACATGTTTACAGCCTGGTATAAAAACAGTTTTGGTCTTTATAGCTAATTTCAACTTTCATGTTGAAAATGCCAAAGTCAAGGCTTCAAAACGGCAGTCCACACACCAATGAATGACATCATGGTGGCTACATCCATTATTTTGTACATTCTACGGTGTTGGCTCTAGAGATGCACCGTGCCAATCCGATATACATGTATGTGTTGAATGATGGTTCATGTTACAAACAGTTGCACAGGCAGTAACTGACTATGGTCTGAGCCGCTGCAACCTGTTCTTTAAAGCTGTAATTCTTTACATGGGTGGTGCACATGGTTTGAAAGCTACTGTGTTAAGCTAACCAGCAGATGACGGTATAACACGTAAAACTATATTAATCATGTTGACAAATAGCTCAGGATGTAGCATAAAAAAGCTAATACTATCCTCTATCTATTTATTTTCACTGAGATTTTTGTGGACACGTAATAAGACACTCATCTTTGATATTATATACCAATTTTTACTACTTCGAGCCAAGTTTCCAGTGGCTTTAAAGTTCCAAACAAGTTTGTGTATACTGCCAATAAGGTCTATAGTTCTTAGAAAGAAAGAAAATCAGCTTTGGCCAAAATCGATATCCACAGGTCCGGCTTTTAAAAATCTGGACATTGGCCAAGAAAATTGCAATCGGTACATCTCTAATTAGCACAGAAAGTATTAACATATCATAACAGGTGTTGATGGCCAGAAATATGCAAATTAGACCCAAGTTGTAATAAAGTGAAATTATCCTTTAACCTGTTCAATAATGTCTAATTCTAGTCGACGTATTTTCTTGCATAGTTGTTGCTATAAAAGGAATTCTTCAAATTTTTCTGGGGATAAAAAAGTTTAAACCAACAGAGGTACATTTTATTGTTGACAATTACTACCTTTGTCGAAATACTCTCTATTTATACATGAAATGATTTTTTATGTTTTATGTCATGTCATCAGCCTACACTGTGGTCACAATGATGGACTTGACCGAAGTATTTCCCAGGCCAGTCGCCAGAAGATGTTTGTGTTGTCTGAAAACCACAAATACTTTAAATTTGTACGTTTCAAAAGTATCCTATCAGTGTTTCTGAAACGACAGACATAGTAAATGAGCTGAATTTGTCATTGGCACTATTTGAGAACAACAAACAAACCTGATTGCTTTTTAGTGAGTTATTGTGTTGTTTCCAGCGTCTTTTTAGTGGCCAAACGTTTGTGGCGACTCGTCGTTTATTCACCAAGAATAGTACCAGGGAAAGAGGTTGTTTTTACTAT